CTTTCAGGTCACTTCCAAGAACAATCTGTATATCATGATAGGAGGAACAGGAAGTCGTCATTTATGTGGACGACGACGTTCTTCGTCTCCAGATATCTCCTCTCACCATCGTTACCTTTCCCCCTCGAAACCGAGAACTCATGACGAAGAAAAAGAAGACGAGAAACTTAAGAAGAATGTCCCATTGCACCGTTCGACTCGGTTGTCACCACAGAGAATGATCTCAAACAGAAGAAGAGCTTCGAACCACAAAAGTTGTACTTTTAAACACTCTCAGTTCGAGGGTATGACTCTTGAAGAGGTTGCGTAAGTTGACTTTTGATTCTCTTAAGACCACAAAAATGAGTGGATTTTATTTTAATGTAAAATAGCGAAAAGATGAACACGTGAATACTTCTCAATGTAAAATTAATGGTATCTATGTTTTAGATAATCGCGTAACTTCACACAAGGGCTATCTGCGTTAGGTGTCTCTAACTTTGAACTGGTAGATCAGAGGGAGGGCAACAGCACCCGCTACCAACTCTAGGCTAATGTATTTGAATAGTGGGATTTCACCATTATTTTTTTAACACATCCATGGTCCGAAAGTGACCCTTAAAACTGACATCGCTAAAAAAAACTTACTTTTCACATTTATTAAAGTGTTTAAAATGGTGAAAAGAGGTGGTTTTGTTCACTTGATATGTAAGTGACCTTTGACCCGCTTTAATGTGAAGGTAAGCTCAATGCTGGCGGTGACTGTGGTCTTAATTTCTCTAGTGATTGATTTTTATTTGTCAAACGTATATGGCTCTTAACTTACATCAGATAAATAAGTCTTTGAGTACACAAATAAAGAGCCTGGTAGTAAACAGATGTGGGAATACAAAGATACTGGTAGAGAAATAAAGTCATTTAACACAGAAAGTCAGGAATCAAACGTGAAGGTAAAACATTAACACAGAAAGTCAGGAATCAAACGTGACGGTAAAACATTTAATATAGAAGTCAGGAATCAAACGTGAAGGTAAAACATTTAACACAGAAAGTCAGGAATCAAACGTAAAGGTAAAACATTTAATATAGAGAGTCAGGAATCAAACGTGAAGGTGTAAAACATTAACACAGAAAGTCAGGAATCAAACGTGAAGGTAAAACATTTAACACAGAAAGTCAGGAATCAAACGTGAAGGTAAAACATTTAACATAGAAAGTCAGGAATCAAAGGTGAATCAAAGTCAGGAATCAATATTAAAATGTCTATATCAAGTCACGTTTTCGTATGATAGCTTCCTGTTTATTTCCACATCATAGTTATAATACGTCAGATAAATGTTAACTTTTATTGTTTGTCAGCATCTATTTCTCATGTCAGATGATTTCGAATGAAAGCAAAAAAGAACTAGATATGAAATTACAATATCTTTATTCTGTCGTTCACTAGATGGCGACACTAAATAGCAGTTGTTTTTTCTTGTTGAGCATAAAGCTACAAAAGCGTTATATGTGCTGTGCTCACCATAGGTTTTTAGTGTTATAAGTCTTTAGATTTATCGCTTATCTGGGGGGGGGGGGCACTAAAGGGGAGGTAATTATCATTCTGGCAGCTAGGCCTGGCATGGCTCGATGGTTAGGGCGCTCGACTCACAAATTGAGGATCACGGGATCGAAACCAGTCATCAAAACTGCTGGCCTTTAGCATCCGCGTGGGTGTTATAATGGGACTGTAAGTATTACATCGTATTGTTTTATAAACCTTAATCGACGTTCATCACAAGTAGGCCGCTCGACTCGCAATCTGAGGGTCGCGGGTCCCCGTCACACCAAACATGCTCGCCCTTTCAGCCGTGGGAGCGTTATATTGTGACGGTCAATCCCACTATTCGTTGGTAAAAGAGTAGCCCAAGAGTTGGCGGTGGGTGGTGATGACTAGCTGCCTTCCCTCTAGTCTTACACTGCTAAATTAGGGACGGCTAGCGCAGATATCCCTCGTGTGGCTTTGCGCGAAATTCAAAACAAACAAACATCACAAGTAAGTTTACTGCTAGTAGGAATAATTAAAAGAATTGCTTTGTAATAGATAAACGTGGAACACAATTTACCACACACGAGCGTATTCATTTTACACAACTAAGAAAACTTTAAAAGAAACGTTTTTAAAGCTATGTTATGATTAGAAATAATTTAACACTGTTGGAAAGTGAGACATTAAAACTAAATACATCAAGACACACAAGTCGTGCTGCCAAAACAACCTGCTGTAGGACACGTTTTTTGTTACTAACAGGTGTGTGTTTGGTTGTTTGTAATTAAGCACAAATCTGCACAATGGGCTATCTGTGCTCTGCCCACCACGGGTATCGAAACCCGGTTTTCAGCGTTGTAAGTCCTCAGACGTGCCGCTGTGCTACTGGGAGGCGTTATTAACAGGAGTGATAGTTTAGCGATTTTCCACCTTATGTAGCTCGGACTGTGGTTATCTAAACTACCACATATTTTCAGTGAATATGCTCTACTGGACCCTTACTTCACATATCAGATTTTAAGGCAATCCATTAAGAAATACACGAGATATAAAATCTCCAATTTTGATTGATTTTTTTTCCTTTTCTTTTTTTCTTCTCACCGAAAGTACGAAAAAATGTTTTTGACAGAAAAACATACTTAAGTTTTATCGATTTTTTTACAAATTTGGTACCCTGATAGATCTTTACAACCTACAATTAGGAGTCTCATTTGGTGTAAACATAACCCACACGTGCAAAGTTATTCAGCAAAAACTGTCAAATTTGACGAACATTTTTGCGCGCGCCTACGCGAAAAGTCACGTGAGGTATCGGTCTAACATCTTTACTACAGCTTCACCTAAGAGTAAAAGTGAACCGTTTTTAGTTTTTCGTCATTTGGATTAAAGATAGCTGATTTAGAGCAGCAAAACTATAAGGTGAAAGGACATACAGATACACAAGTAGTGGTTAGGCCAAGCAAACTAGATTAGCAGTTTCTAGCTCAAGTTTTCAAAAGAATCATACGGGTGAATGGTTATTATTGATTATTCATTGCCAACTTTTAAGCACAAATTTACTAACTTTTATGAAATTATCCTAATTAAAGAACGTTTATGGTCACGTGATATTAGCTTAAGCAATTAACATAAATGATGATGCTTGATACGGCTGTATCGATTGGATGGGGGTGATGACAAGAAACTGTTAATCCAAATTCCATGGCATTACTATAAAGGAAGCTATTAACACTGTTGGTTCTGTAAAGTATAGGTCCGTTCCGAATAATAGGGTTGCGATCCTAAAGGTAATGTCGGTTACTATCGGGTGTCACTTTCTTACTTGCTGTGGTGTGTTGGTGTGTATTGACAAAAAGTCATGATATCTAATCAAAAACATCTTAGGTGTGAAAAAAAGGTGCGGGCAAAAACAAATTGAGCGTGCCACTTAAAGGAATGAAATCAAAATTGGTGGGCAAACCGATAGTTACACCTATAGCATTGATAAGAATTTTACAGCAAATATTCATTCATTAGTTAGCTAGGCCACGTATTTTGTTTTACCCACCATGATGCCCCAAGTCCATCTTTTTTAATTAGATATGAAAATATGAATTACAAATTGCAATGTAGGCAGGATAAAATGAATCACAGTAAGAGAGACTTCTTAATAAGTAGAGCCTACAAGTTGTGGGGGTACAGATAAATACACTGATGCAAATAAACTAGAATTTACATAAAATAAAAAACAAAAAAAACAAACGTATGCTTAAACAGGAACCAGAGGCGATAATATATTATACTGCTAAAATGATAATAAACGAGTCAGTTTCCAATATTTTTTCTTTTTCCTTGTGAATTTGTTTGTTTTTCTGTTTAAGCCCAAATCCACACAATGGGCTATCTATGTTCTACCCACTGTGGATATCGAGCCCCAATTCTAAAGCTTTATAAGCCTTCAAGCTTATCTTTGAGCCACCTGTGCGGGGTGGGGGTGTCTCATTGTAAATCAGTTCTATCTATAATTTTCATCACTTACGTCTTTCAACTTTTACAAAATGAAAAAAAAAAAGACACGTTTTATTTGCTCATTATTATTCGAAATGTTTTGACATTTCAAATGAATATTTTACCAGTCTAAGATAGTTAAATATAATCTTCTAAAAGCTCAAATGCAGTATACGTTTGCTCATGAAAGAGTGCAATGTCGTTTTTCCATTTACTTTACCGGACACTAGTCTTTGGTTTGTTTTCAGCCGCGGCATAACGGCTCATAGAATGGCTCTGAGTTTTGTTTTTTTTCTTTTCAAGTACAAACTTTTTGCTTATAACTCTGCCATCTCTTGACCGATTTGAGATCTAATTACAGTTTTGGACTCAGGAGGTCAAACCCTTTTGATTGATTTATTGACAATGTCCAAGTTCTCAGAGTTTAATTTACTCTAATCCTGCCTAAAAGAGTTTAAGTGTGAGGGTAAGCTGGTAGAGATTCTGATGAGTAATAAAATCGAATCGGATATACGCACGCTCCACGCTTGGTACTGCTGGCGCACAAAAATATAGCTAATAAATAGGAAAAAATGGTCTCATAGATTAATTTACTCTAATATTGCCTAAAATAATTTCAAATGCCGCGACTATTGAGGATTCCCTCTTGATTTTATTGGCAAGCCCTTTCCTTCTGTGGATATATGAAGCTCTAAATACGCTTAAATCTTTAAAGTTTGAGAACTTAAATTCATTATATTATTACATCAGAATAATGAATATGACGTGTACACTTCCTCGTATAACAGGAGGTCAGCTTAGTGTGACTTACAATATGATTTTCTAGGCAGCTGGTAAAATGCGAATGTAAAAACCTTTTAGGATAAACTTGTTCTATTTCCAACCAACAGATGGCACTGTTCGGCTGTCTTGCCACATCCGTTTCGAAAGGTGTAAAATCGTTTCAGAAACGAATCCATTATGTACTTAGTGTTTGTGAGAGATGCTACATGAGACGTAACGTTCATACAAGCGATACAAAGTTAATATTTTTACAAGTTTACATCTCTTCGTGTGTATCGATCCTTCCTTGCTATGGATTCCAGGACCAACTACTAGGATTGTCTGTCTGGCTGTTCCAGATAGGCGCAGAATGTCTCTGGTAAGTGGGAGTTTGTGCACGAGAGAGTAAGCTAGAACCGAAGAACTGGTGCTATGTCCTTACACCCTAGATGCTCTGTATGTTCTTGCACAAAAGAGGGGGTAGCATCTTCGTGCATCACAAGTTACTACCCATTGTATGAAAAACGATGTCTGTCTAAACGGTTGCTATTTTCGAGTTGGAGATATTGATCCGATTACCAGAGGAGTTCGCGTAGCGCGTGAGAAGAGGATCTAGACCACAGCTACTAACCCCCGACTCTGACTTCCGAGAGAACACAGAGTGATAAAAACAGGTTATCAGCCTTCTCCCATCCATCCTCTGTACCTGTACTGTTGCTAATTGTACTGAAAACGAGAACGCTCTGGATTTTTACCGAAAATTCACACCAGGAATGGAACCTACTCAAGATTTTTCACTCAAGGTACATAGTACATACACGTTACAGGTTGATATTTTCAGTTTAAAAGTTGACATTCTACAGGGTATTTATTAAAACCTAGCCAGATAAGAATTACTTACCCAAATGTATCACTTTCGACAGTTATTTACTGCGACTTAGTTCTGACATATTCAACAATATGGTACAAAAAATATTAAGAACTTAAACAACTTTCACCTAGTCTCATTTTGTCTGCATGACGTTTGTTATTAGCACATTCAGAGTTAAGGCTTATCGTGTATGTGGTTTTCTCATCTGTAGGCTTGTAGGTATTCTTCCTCATGCCATTATGATCTCGTGTCGGGGACATTGTTATGCTACCATGACTTTATGTCGGGTACCTTCTCAGGCAACCATGACTCTATGTTGAGTTTTTCTCAAGCTACCATGACTTTATGTTGAGCTCTTTTCAAGCTACCATGGCTTTATGTCGGGTTCTTCTCAGGCTACCATAACTTTGTATCGAGCACCTTCTCAGGCTACCATAACATTATATCGGGTTCTTATCAGGCTACCATAACTTTATGTTGAGCTCTTCTCAGGCTACCATAACTGTATTTCGAGTTTCTTCTCAGACCTTAGAAGAAAATATTGCTAACTATCAATGTATTTTAATCAGTATAAGTTATATTTTCTTCTGACTTTGTATATTCATAATTAAACCGGTATACCAACCTAATTATATTAACTAATTCTAAATATCAACCTAACTATATTAATTAATTCTAATTCTCAACCTAATTATATTAATTAATTCTAACTGTCAACCTAACTATATTAATTAATTCTAAACATCAACCTAACTATATTTATTAATTCTAACTGTCAACCTAACTATATTAATTAATTCTAACTGTCAACCTAACTATATTAACTAATTCTAAACATCAACCTAACTATATTAATTAATTCTAACTGTCAACCTAACTTATATTAACTAATTCTAAACATCAACCTAACTATATTAATTAATTCTAACTGTTAACCTAACTATATAAATTAATTCTAACTGTTAACCTAACTATATTAACTAATTCTAACTGTTAACCTAACTATATAAATTAATTCTAACTATTAACCAAACTATATTAATGAATTCTAACTGTCAACCTAATTATATTAACTAATTCTAAACATCAACCTAACTATATTAATTAATTCTAACTGTCAACCTAATTATATAAATTAATTCTAAACATCAACCTAACTATATTAATTAATTCTAACTATTAACCAAACTATATTAATTAATTCTAACTATTAACCAAACTATATTAATTAATTCTAACTATCAACCTAACTATATTAATTAATTCTAACTGTCAACCTAACTAATAAATTGAACATAAAAATAGAATTTCACTAATATAGTCAATATGGAACTAGAAAGGCACTAACAAAGTGTACACGAAACTAGAAAGGCACTAATAAAGTAAACATGAAACTAGAAAGGCACTAATAAAGTAAACACGAAACTAGAAAGGCACTAATAAAGTAAACATGAAACTAGAAAGGCACTAATAAAGTAAACATGAAACTAGAAAGGCACTAATAAAGTAAACATGAAACTAGAAAGGCGTTAATAAAGTAAACATGAAACTAGAAAGGCGTTAATAAAGTAAACATGAAACTAGAAAGGCATTAATAAAGTAAACATGAAACTAGAAAGGCACTAATAAAGTAAACATGAAACTAGAAAGGCACTAATAAAGTACAACCGCTACCTTACAATGTTCTGACTTTGTACAGTAAACATCGTCAAATATACACCAAATATTTTTTAAGACTCAAAAAGGTAGGTATAGCTGTCAAGATTCTCTTTTTATCTCAATTTATTGTTGAGATTTGACTGTTATTAAAAATCCCAATTTGTTACCACTAAAACAAAAGTGGTTAACCTTTAGTGCGATCATCATCTTTGAGCTACATTCAGCAATATTTAGTTAGCTGTACTTATAGCACTCTTAATATTTGTATGAAATATGAACTAATTCAGGCAAAACCATTTCGAGTTATGTGGTTAACATTCAATGTGACCTTGATCTTTGACCTCCATCTACCAAAGAATAACCAATTGGCCCTTGAGATGCACCAAATCTGGTCAATATCAGATGAAAACCATTTCGAGTTATGTGGTTAACATTCAATTTGACCTAAAGGTTTTCATCTGATATTGACCAGATTTGGTGCATCTCAAGGGCCAATTGGTTATCCTTTGGTAGGTGGCGAGTTATGTTGTGCATATAAACCCCCACAGGAATGAAAATAATATCCCTCCATGGAAGTGGGGGTGGGTGGAAGGGAGTAATAAGGAACATACCAGATCCTTGATAAACTATTATTTTACTTCTTTATATATAGGTACATTTGTCTACCTCTCATTACTGTTTGTATCACACTTTATGGGCGACTAAACTTAGCGAACCAGCTCATTAAGCATTGGTGGATTTAAATTCCTCGTCGTCTGGTTCAGCGCCACCTGGCGTGTTGCCGTTTCTCGCACTTTACTTAAAGCCAACAATAAGTGCTTGAGACAATGATTCAACTTTGCGACTGAAATGCGGTTACTGTGGTAACAAGTTTTGGGTCGCCGCAATATCGTACAGATCAATCTAAATATACATAGATTAATTTTATGGAAATATATTGAAAATATATAATTAATGTTTGTTTGTTGAACGTCGCGCAAAGTTACTCGAGGGCTATCTGCGCTAGTCGTACCTAATTTAGAAGTGATAGGCTAGAGAAAAGGCAACTAGTCAACATCACCAACCGCCAACTCTTGGGCTACTCCTTCCCAACTAAAAGTGGAATTGATCTTCAAGTTATAACGCTTCCACTGCTGAAAGGGCGAGCATGTTCGGTGACGGAACTCGAACCTTCGACTAGCAGATTGTGAGTCAACCGTCCTAATCAGGATCTATTGTATAATGTGTGTATATTATGCCATTAATACTTTCAATAATTTCGTGTAAACACGAGAATCTGAATAAAGTTTTTGAGTTATTCGTAACCTTTTTTCAAATGTAGAGCAACTTACACTTTACAATAAGTACAATAATGTTCACTTTACGATAAGTACAATGACGTACACGAAACGTCCTCAAAAATTTCAGGTTAAAAGAAATATCTCAGTGCCAAAATGAACGTGATTTTATTGAGAAATATATATTTTTACTAAACGTTGAAGTCCTTGAATGATGGCCAGGCATGGCCAGGTGGTTAGGGCCCCGGCATGGCCAGGTGGTTAGGGCACTCGACTCGCAATCTGAGGGTCGCGGGTTCGAATCCCCGTCCCACCAAACATGCTCGCCCTTTCAGCCGTGGGGGCGTTATAAGGTGACGGTCAATCCCACTATTCGTTGGTAAGAGAGTAGCCCAAGAGTTGGCGGTTGGTGGTGATGACTAGCTACCTTCCCTCTAGTCTTACACTGCTAAATTAGGGACGGCTAGCGCAGATAGCCCTCGCGTAGCTTTGCGCGAAATCCATAACAAACAATCTCCTTGTCTGACCAATTAGTGGGATTTGACCGTTACTCTTATAGCGCACCTACGTATCCAACTTGTGTCTGGAAATAGTGTATAAAATGTAAAAACAAAATTCTCTTTTGCTACAGATCCAAAAGGTTCTCAGTTTACTGAAGTTGTTTTCTTGAATGAAGAGGAAGATTTGGGCAGAAAAACATCCGTCATAACCTATGTATAGATTTATTTGAAACAAAGACAATACTTCGAGTAGGCATAAAATTGATTTGCTAATTTCAATAGTACACATTAATAGTTTTTTTTTCTTCTTCTCCGACAGACTACGAGCTCTAAGTGCCGAGGCAGCGGGGAGAAATGAGGATGGAGGATTAACGGGCCCAAGAACACTCGTTCAAGCCATGGCCCAGCGTAAGGCCACTCCGGCAGAGAAGACGCCTACATCCCTGTTCGTTCTGAAAGAGGACAACATTATTAGGAGATACACAAAGTTCGTCATTGAGTGGCCATATCCTTTGATGTTACTCTAAAACGCTTTCCAAGTAGGGTTTTGTTTCTTGATCTATAAACACATTGTTGTTTCTTGATCCATAAATACATTGTTGTTTCTTGATCTATAAATACATTGTTGTTTCTTGATCTATAAATACATTGTTGTTTCTTGATCTATAAATACATTGTTGTTTCTTGATCTATAATTACATTGTTGTTTCTTGATCTATAATTACATTGTTGTTTCTTGATCTATAAT